ATTCGTAATCATTGTGAAATCAACACCTCTCACATGGGGTTTGTGAGTCTTTATCAGTTCATTACCAGAAGTTATCTGTGAGCTGTTTCGAAATATTTAAAGGGAGTCAGCGGAATTTAAGTGGTCATTCCACAGATGTCATCAGTCATTTCACTTCTTTCATTCTTAAACTATACTCTTTTGTTACTAATTCCCTTCTCACGAGGTTGTAAACTCATACTCGCTGTGTTTTCTAGTGAAGAGGGCTTTTGTTTGTTTGATGCCATCTGTCAGAATCAACTTAATCCGAGTTCATTTTTAAGTCAAAGAGACAGCCGGACGTTTCTGGCCCGAGACGTAGTAGCAAAGGTTGACATGCATCATTGACAGCCTTGTCTGAACTTTCTGAAGACTATGTCTTCTGGAGGTTTAGTTTATTCCGAACAGCCCTGCAGAAAGCTCCCAGGCGGATCATCCGAGCCTGGACTAGTTTTTCCAGAGAGTCTTTTGGATTCTTCGGTTCCCTTGTCTCCTGAATGAAACTGATTCATACTTCTGCTCCTATTCGAAGTCTGTGATCATCCGATGTGATATCATGCTCCGTAAAACTCCGTGGGAATGGTAATTCCGTTGTGATTTGAGATACAATCTCAAGAAACCCCTGTAGACATTCGTAAGCACTCACAGCCACGGCTTATCCTAGCCGACCAGTTTTTTGGACAGGGCCATGTTGGCCACGAAAAAGGCACAGCACATAGCATAATAGTGGAGGAGACGGGGGCTCTGTCATGCCAAACCATGAGCCGTCTCCTGGCGGCTTCTTCGTCAATCGCGATACTATTTCTCTTTCTGTGGCAATTGCAGGGGAAATTGTTGCCAACATGGCTGTCAATACAGCTCCTAAATATGACGTTGTGTTCTCACGCCATGAGAACAATGCCGCCATCTCAGCTGTGACATCGTCGCAGAAGCAGTTCATAGGTCTCGTTGTCGTGTGGTCATGCATGTTGCCCATCTTCCCTTCCTTTCTTCTTTCTTTCTTTTTTGTTCCTCCCATTCAAAACACTTTAATCTTCATCAAGATTCCTGTGCTTTTTCAGTCATTCTAGAGGGACAGCTTTGTTCTTCCGTTGTAAGATCGCCATACGTTATCGTTTGAATGTGCACTATTAGACTCAGTTGATGTTTATAATTTGAACAGCTTCCAATCAATAGATGATGAATTCGAAAACTTTATGGGCACGCCAGTGATGGCCAAAATTGTCGAAAATCGCTGCTTTCCATGCGAATGCAATCGTTTGCGAAGGTGTCGGAGTTGGCTGCTCTTTGGAGTTCATTTTCTAGAAGGGGGCTAAGAAGGAATGGCCAAAAAGGGTCTGTCGGCCCTAAGTGGTATGCCTCTTGGATTGAAAAAATGGATTAGATGATAACTTTTTCGAATGTTCATGGAAGAGGAAGTTACTTAAGCGATTCGAACTTTGCATCGGCCTGCATACAGGTATCCTAATTCATTTCCAAGGTGTGCTCACCTTCGCATAAGCCTAGCGATTTCCAAACGTTTCGGATATATGGCGCACCCCACGACATGAGCTCCTATTGGGCTTTGTTATTTTAACACGCTAGACAAAACATTCCCGTTACATTGAAAACCTCCCCAACCCATTCGTATGACATCCCCACCCTTTTCTGCTTATGCCCTCCTCAGAGAGAAAGCTTCTTGAAGAACTTACTTTCCAAGTCACGGAAGTGTTTCCTCCCTGGTAGGTTAGTAGTATTACTTCGAAGTAGCAGTAGTATCAGATTCCTGTCGTGGTAAGACAGTCTCGGGGTGTGGGTGACAATTCACGCAGGTGTTCTTGGACAGAGAAACTTCTTACTCAGCGCAACTCGTTTTCTTACAGTATTGTGGTGTCGGACAACGTCTGATGTGTTACTCACCAAAGTAGGGCTACTACTCAGCTATGCCACCGATACCGCCTCCAACATTGTCGTCGTCCGAACTGAGATCACCCACTTTCACTCCTCCTCCGTTTCGGTCGGTCCATGCCTTTAGCGATATGGCTATGTCATGAGATTATGTGTGTGTGTGTGTGTAAGCCCCATATCGCACTCTCACTTTATTTATTAATCGCATCGTTTTTGTGGGCAGTGTTCATATGGACGATGGATGGCCCACCTGCTGGAGCGGCTGAAGAAGTGGCCGTTTTATAGATGCCTATCTTTGCGATGGAAAGCGACCAGTATGTTCGACATCGAGCAGATTCGTCTCTTCCGTGCCACTGGAAAGTCTCGATGCAGCAGTTCGCGCTCCTCGAAGCAGCACCCCGTCCGACGCGCTTTTCAGCTGCTCTCGGCCGACGACGACGCTTCTTCCGACATTCTCCATAGTTTTTCGCCCGTAATGTGTCATATTGCATATCGGAAATCCGGATGACGTGATTTCATGGCTGTTTCGGTTGTTGGAATTCTTTGTTCTTCAGAACAATGAGTAAGATATCTGATATCTCGATCGAAACCCAGACCAGGAGCAACATCCCCCTACCACGGAGTCCAACGACGTAGCCAAGCTACTGGCGGCCAAAGTAGAAAGTGTTTTTTGGCCATTTGAATGGCCATACTACCCAAGGTGTTTCCGAGCCATAGCTAGGCGTTCCCGGACGAATAGTCTGGTATTATGTAATAGCGTAGTGCATGAGCGTTGCATCAAGTGTTGTCTAAACACCACGATCGCGCCAAAACCCCTTGACCAACGCGACTCCTTCGTGTCACACCCTCTTCTGCACCACAATTCACCACCCCAACACATTCACCTTTGAAAACTTGCCTTCCTAAAATTGAATAACTTTACTGCTGAGCTATTTTCAAAGATTTCTCCGACCGAAGAGCTTACTTTCGCGGATACTGGAGTATCCAATCCGGTCATTGCTTCTCATGTCGAAGACTCCTTTTCCTGAATCTCCTCTTTGGACTTCAGTTTTCTTATTTTAGAGTTCTCAAGGGGAACTACTGAGTCATATGACAGTAGTGATTTCTTCTGAATAGAGAACAGTCCCGTAGCAGCTGCTGTTTGCTTATGCTGTCTAAGGGTAAGGTGACGGTCTGTCCGCGTTGGTAGTACCTTGTCCTAATGGTTGAGGAATGCCCTGCTCTCGCGGGGTCTCGTTGTTTTCATTCATTACAGCTGATCACAACTAATTTGTTCCAGTTACTGTAAGGATCACCGAGGGTCCTAAACTAACCACCCATTTTAATAGTTGAAAATTATTTGTTGGTCTGGTCTGGTCTGGTCGATTACTCTATTGCAGCTATTTAACCAAATCGGTAGTTCCTCTTTGGTTCGGCAACATTACAATCATCCAGAGCGGATTGTTTTCGGTATGGCCATGCCTGACCGATAAAAATTAATCCTTTTTTGCGCACCCTACGTAGCAAATCATCCCATCTCGTAGGATCCCATGCAATCAGTTACCGTCTAGTACTCTTCAGCCTTATTGTTTTGCGGGTTTCCTTGCAATGTCTTTGATACGATACTAAACAAGAGGAGTGTTTGCTCAGTGTCTTCCTCACTTCGGAGTAGGAAAAGGCCCTGGAACTGTTGCCGAGGTCACGAACCCCTGTACGCGACCGTACATCTAAACACTTGTTCGCGCTAATGTGGTGGTCCTTAGTTAGTCGGTAATGAACCTCCTTGCAGCCAACTGTTCCTGACAGTTCTATCAGGGTCTAGCAATCTTGTAATTCGGCCAAAATGATGTTCGTTCGAGAAATAATACCTGGCTCGCCATACTCGGAGATAAGCCCAAAAAGTTCAGTTAAGTAGCCTTCAAAGGAGCTGTAGTGGAAGTCTGGCGTCTCGAAACCTATCNTTGGTAAGTCAGCTAAGCGCTCGAGATTCTCAGGATCTCCCAGATGAGCGTCAATAGATCCAAAATGGGAACTGTTTGCATGTCACACGTCGAGTGATAGAGCGGTGATGGTTAAGTGTTTAATTGACTGAGAGTTGTTAGGCAAATTCGGCAGTGAAAGCGGCGGCCATTCGGGGCTACCTCGTTCGGAATTCAGCCCTAGAACGTCCTGTTTTGATATCCTTCATCAGGACTACATATATGACGTCTTCCCTCACTTTTCCAATTCTTCTTTAATCAATATTCGTTCCCAAGTCGTTTTCTTTCCTCTACAATCATTTTCGTACGAGTAGTTCTTCAGGTGGGTGGAAATGCGAATAGTCCTAAGCCTCTACCTCGTTACATGGATATCAGCCGGTATAATCGACGATCTCCCGCATTGTGCACGGAGTACGGTAATGGAGGGTGAAGTGAGTAATGAGCAAACAACTTGTTCGCTAGATTACATGAGTAATTACCTTTAAAAGTGTGACAAAATGACAAGCTGGCGTTTGCAGATCCGCGAGTACGATAACATGGGACGGCCCAAGATTTACAGCGCTGTGCAACTTTCAATGGCATTGCACGAAGTGGCATGTATGACCATTAAGGTTCGTTCTGCTTGATTTATGATCCTACGAAAAAATTTATTGGGTAAATTGTCAAAATGGGCCGTTATTACAACTTCGTTCAACCATAAAATCTACTTTCTCCCCGAACGAGGGTGTTTTCATGGTCTCAACAGTGTAATATATTATTAGTCATGGTAGAGGGCAAAAGAACAACGTGCTCAGAATTGATTGGTCCCCTTGCGATGCGTTATGCCCCTGCCTTCTAATTAGAATTGGATAGACGATTGAATGTGTATTTGGTCCATGCAAAAACGTATGTGGCCAGTGTTTGCCCACGGAAGCATTATTTTTGTCTCCCATATGGCACCTACTGAATGACATCTGGGATTTAGTTTACGTAGTTGTGAAAGTCGCACTTTCGCTGCGCTACCTCCGCATGCACCCGTGTAATCAAAAGGACTTTCATAGTGCTGGGGAAGGCATGCCCTCACCCAAGGAGGAGATCGAGAAGTGGCAGGTGTCACCACTACCGCTTACGAATGCCCAGACCGCCAATAGAAACTCAAGCCTCAAACCATGCTAGGCTAATTTTCTGATTTTTTGAAAGTAGGGCTGCGACACAAATGTGAAGAGGCAAACACAGGCGTCGTAAGCGTCAAATGTACAATCAAATGCCTCCCCAATCCCAGAGGGTGCCGAATATGTGGCGCACTCCAGAAATTGATGGATTGATGCAATATAACGGCATTCGACTTCCTGTCATAGAAAATTGGTTTCAGTATCATAAATTACCTACCGACCCACAAGTACCTATTGGCAGACAACCATTCATGCCCCCATTCGAAAAATCAGGGATCATTTTCCACAGAACGTGAAATAATGGCTAATTTCAGATGAACGACAGTGAGTCATCCATTCTTCATACGTTGGAATTCTTGCGGTTGGAACAACATCACCCCGTCTCGGGTGAGTGTTGTGATTATTTTTTTCTTCGACAATTTCTTCTACGTGGCGGCCCACTCGCACTTTTTTAAGGGGCATCGATAAGGACTAAGGAGCATGATTAGTTTTCTTAATGATTCATTTCTGATTAATTGATGGCAACAGCTTCAGAACGCTGTTTTTTGCTCAAAAAAAGAATATTTCGAAAATGCACTACTGAATTTTGCCCGGGGAGTGGTCGCCTCTTTGACTTTGTGGNTTACTGCCTCCTTTCAGGTATGTACCAATTCGGAATTCCCAAAATTACCTCTTCTTGTATTTGTGATTGTGCCGGTGGTGATGCTCCATGTAAGATGAGCGAATATAATTACCGGTAAGTACCTCTTCATGAGACCCTTATTCAATGAGGCCGAATACGGGAATCCATTTAGGAACTGCTCCTCAGGTGCTCTTTGCTACCGTACCTATCATCCAGTGCAATCAAACGTCGGCTGTCTGAGCGAACAAAAAAGTGAGGCATGCTGTCAGTTACGGATTGAACCGTTCAAAGATTGGTTATTCACAGCTATCAAGATCAATCAGCCAGCTACAGTACTTGTGTTCAAGTAAGTACCCCTTACTTGGGTAAAGAAGTTACCGGGATGGAATTTACCTGAACAAGTATTGTTTACAGGTATAATATCTACGATCGCTTTGGCAATCGATGGAGGAGAGCATCGGAAGAAGTGGTCGAGGTGCCGATGAATCGAGGCATATTCAAGTTCGACTTCAATAACATTCATAAAATCGAAATGGTTGTTTCGGGTAGTCGTCCAAACAGAGAACTGCAACCAGGAATGTACTTCCTCAGAGAAGGTAAGTGATTAGGATTTCGACGGATGAAAGCGCTATTTCATAGCAACTTTTGTAGGAACGCATGAACTCCGAGGATTTGTACCTATAAATGATATCGGTGAGAGTAACCTGGAAAAGTTGGGCTGGATGCGGTACACGGACGGAAAATGGGACATCCGAAATGGTCTGGTGAAAATCAAGCAAGCTCATGTGAGTTATAAGTCCATTTTATAATGGTCCTGATACCAATCTGCCATTTTTATGGCAGCAGGAAGTCCTGCCACCTCATGAAGGCACTTTCCCCGCCGTCTCTCATTCTGTCTGCTTTTGTTTTCTTCGAATGCCCTTCTAATTCCTATATTTCGAACACAACTGTCTGAGTCATGGAGAGGGTGCTTTGCTTTTCTCTGCAGACTTTCCCATCTGTAAATTGCAGCTCTTTTCTTTTTTCGTGGTCCTATCTTTTTTCTACCTTCCCCTGACAGCTTTGCTTTCGTTCTTCCCACTGTGCAAGCCATTCTTATTTGACTGATTTGAGTGAAGCTTTCTTTGGTAGTAAGCATTGCCGTAAGAAATCATTAGTATCGTATCTCCATCATTCGCTTTTAGCACGTGAACGTGGCCGATTGCAAGCAGCAGATCTACACGTCAACTATAAACGGAGAGCAAATGGTTCTTGTTTCGGGAAATGATGTCGATGAAAGCTATGACCTCGGTGGGTGATACAAAATCAATAAACATATTTAAAGAAAGGGCTAGCAGAACTGGTACTAGCCAACAAGCAGTTTTCTTCCCTATGTAGTAAGTAACGGTTGCTCCAGAGCAGGTTTACGTAGGGTCATGATTAGAGCTCTAGAATTACTGAAACCTACAGCAACTCCACGCCAATTCTCCCCAGTGAGTCACATCGGGACGCTTCCGTCTTTTCGTATTTCACCGGGCAAGAATTGTAAGTAGAATTAGTTCTTTGAGAATTGAAAGTGGGCAAAAATCGCATAAAGGGGTAATAGGACCGTATACAGAACTCAAAGACCAAGTGCTGCGTTTTTTCCCCAGATGGCTGTCAATGGGAACCCTGCTGATCTGCAAATCATTAATTCCAACCTATTTACAGGTAGACCATTGACCGATGATCCATGGATAGAAACGGCTGTTTATCAGGATCGAGCTGTACGGGTCGAACACGCCGAAGGGACCAGCATAACGGTAAGCCAGATTGACGCTGAGGTGAATTATTCCTTAACCGAAGCCTTTTAGGTGCATATGACGTCCGAAACTCGCCCACATATGCTTCGTCACATCTCCCAGTTGGAGTCATTTGATGGGATGATTCAAGTAGACCGCGACAGCAATCGTTATCTGAACATCTCTTTTTTGGTAAGTAATTGAAACGGAAATGAACGACATAATAGGAATGAGCTACCGGTTACATTTCAGGGATCAAAAGGTACTTTGATCGGGAACATTTTCTCTTCAGAAAAGAAGGATCAAATAGATATGGCCTTTTCAGTTCAAGGTAAATAATCGGATCATCTTAGTAGGGATAGAACCGATGATGACTGATTTTTTTTCAGTGGACTCGAAAGTGCATCACTACCGATCCATAATATCGATCCCATCGTCCATAAACAGCAGTCGATATGTTTGCTTTCACCCCTCGGGTGATGTGAAGGGTGAAATTTGCAAATGGTTCAAGTAAGTGCCGAAGATTTCGAGGTTATGGCCCAACTTGATTATCATTTCTTCAGGTACGAAACTAAACAACTCAACAGCTACCGTGTTGCTCATCGCTGGCAGAGAGGGCAAGGAGATTGCGGCGGGTAAGGACAACACCTTGTCACTACTACAACTTACGGTCGGGGTAGAACATGAAAATTCAAGGCTTAGAAGATATGTTGAAGTGGGGAACTGTGGGCATTATCATTATTCAGATGGGCATGCTTTGAGGAATTTTAAGTCGAGATTCTCACTGTGTTTTTGAAATGGACTAGTTCTTTTTGAGACAGAAAATCTCTGTCCAGTTTGCCTCCCCTTAGTTTTACTAAAAAAATAGATACCTAAGTTAATTCGAGCCAATGACTTCAATTCAATTTTGTTAGGTTTTTAGTGTAGTTTTGTTCGAAAGGTGTAGCGTTAGTCTCGACTCACTCCTGGCTAGTTGTCTCGTCACGGGACCGCTCCTTGCCAATTTTTTCGCCGCGTCATGTCCCATTTATGTACACCAGCTGGCCGTCTCGCAACGTGCATGCTCTTTGGAACTACAACCCGACTCATATCGTACATAGGCCCTAGGCAATTATCTGTGAAGGGAATTGGAAGATTTTTGATGCTTTCAAAGATGACTAGTAAACTAAGTCATAAGCAAACCCGGAAACAGCTGTTTTCTATTTCCAGTAGCTTACTGTCACAATTTTTTCTTGCAGGTGTAACGAGCGTGGTGTGGAGAGCTTCTTAACGTCGTTGGACCCTCGACAATGGTTCAACGGCATCTCGACTCCAGTAGAGGCCTTTACCATGGCTGTAGAGCTGGTCATCGCCGTCTGTTTACTGTTGCTTTTCGTCGGTATCTGTACTAAATGCCTTATTCCTCTTTTACGGTGTACTTTCTCAGTCAGTAAAACGCCAAAGAAATAGTCATCTATACAGGCTAGGGTGCCTTCTTTTCTCTGCCTATCATTGCCCTCATCATTTACCGGTAATTTGCAAGCATTATTTATGAATACTAGCCAAGCTTGCTGAACATTCAATTGATCTTTCATTCCTGTACTTATGTTCAAGTACAATTTCATTGTTTTTTAGTTGCTTTCATGCTCTATGAGCAATCATTGTTGCCAAATTCCAATGTGATATGTCATATAAGTGCTTTGTACATTGTGTTTATCGATCCGGTTGCTTTACACAAATTGTTTATATATGTGAATACGTAATAAGATTTTAATAAGAATTTGTACTTCACAATCTATTAGTAAGGGATCAGTCAATCCTTATGTCTCCGGAGAGAGGACAGGGGAAAGCGACAGGGCCGGACAGATGAGTTTCGACACCTGAGGAAGGTAATCTTCTGAAACTGGTGTGACAGAAACGCGATGTCTCTCGAATCTGAGTCTGGACCCTCCGGACTGTCCAGTACCACGAGCCTTTCCGAACCGGCAGGCGCTGAGTATGGCCGGGGGAGAAGTCAGCACGCCAGCACCTCACAGAAGCTGTGGGGTTCGAACAACAACAACAGTTTCATAGGTTAGCCAAATTGTTGACAAACACATTCCCTCCGGAAATGTTACCTCACATTCGTCCGGCCACGACTTCCATACTCACCGTTTGAAACTCAGTTTAGCTTTTCAGAGGTGAGGTCAAGGACGTCCTCTCCCACACCCTATGAACTATAGCTCTAGCTTCCTCTAGGTGTAAAAGAGTTG